TGGGTATCGTAGAGTCTATGGCCAATGTTAAGTCTATGTGCAGTGTTGAGTCTATGCATGTGTAGTGACATAGGGCTGACTGTTGGACAGCAGCAGCCAACTGCAGGTGGGCACTTTGCACATACGCCACTGAGTATATACGCTGGTGTACCGGCAGGGCGGAGGAACTGGGGCAAGGGTCATGGTAGACCTCGTGTGGAAGCCCCTGGAACCCTCTGGAGGGTTTGAGAAGGGGGGCGCGGCTAGGGCGGAGCCAAGCCGCGCCAAGGGGAATATAAGCTGTGGAGAGCGAGAGATCTGGGCCAGCCGGTTCTGGGATTGGACTTGTCTCGTCATCGCTGTCATTGTCGCCACCCTTGTCGCCTCTACCTTCGCCCAATCATTGCGTGGCCAGATAGCATTTGGCTGTTTCTGTCGACGCCACCGGTGTAACACAGACAGGGTCATGTCTGGGACGGGGCACGCGGCAGTGGGGTCGTGTGTGAGAGAGAGAGGGAGCCCGAGTGGTGGCGTGAGCTCCGCTGGCTGTGTCTACGATGCACGCCACCCCCACGCACAGACGACACTACACATGCATGGGTGTTGAACTTCTTTCACACTGTGCATAGCCAACCATGCTTATCAGAGGAAGGACAACAAACTACATACAAAAAGCAGTTCTGAAGAAATTAGTTGAACACATAGGCTTTCGCGACCAATATTATCCATGATAAAACATTTGTGGGTTAGATCGCACCACCTGACTCAACATTGCCACCCATAGACTCAACACTGCCACCCATAGATTCAACACTGCCACCCATATACTCAGCACTGCCACCCATAGACTCAGCACTGCCACCCATAGAGTCAGCACTCACTATAGAGATGTTTTTTGGGTTAGATCGCGTAAATATATAAATGTGTCGTTAAAACCCATCACCACCCGACACAGCCAACTAGTAAGGGTTGTCCGTCAACAAAACATGCTAATTACTTACTACCTCAGCACAACGGTGTGTTGGAAAGTCAACCCACAACGTTTACAATTCGAGTACTGTGACGTTTCTCTGGTGATACCATCACCAACCAACTTCATAAGGTGATAGCCAGAATTGTGAAGAAGAATTGAGTTATCAAAATATTGAGATCGATATATTTCACGCACCTCACTCGTCTCCATCTCCTCTAAGCGACGAGTCTCTCCACCAGGGTGCTGCGTCTCTCCCAAGTCTCCCTTCCTTCTACCACCACCACCACTATCATCAATACCATCACCATCACCACGGCTGAAATGACTTCTCATTGTCCTCCAACAACACCAATTCCTGCTGTGGTAGCGGTGGTGGCACCGGTGGAGAAGCACCATCAGCAACAGAAGGAAGATCAGAGCCCACGTGGTTATGGCGATGAACTCTTTGGCGCGAAAAGGCAAAACCGTCAATGGCACCGTCGATGTCGCTGCATGCGTCGTAGCAGCGGTTCCTGTTGCAGAGAAAGGGACACCGTGATTGGTGGTGGCTAGGAGATGTTAAATATATTGCCTGGTATATAGGGGGTCGTGGGTTCGATCTCGACAGACGCCTGCTATAAATTTGGAGTTTGCGCGTCTCTCTCCCTGTGGTCACGTGGATTTTTTTCTGGGTCCTTCGGATTTTTCCCTCCACATTTTGAATCAACATAAACGCATTTAGAGTATTTGGCTGCTATAAATTTCCACATGAGCCACTTTGTTTAGCTATCATTTGTAGCGAAATCGCTTCTGAAAAAAGAGCTATATAGCTCAGTGGGCCTTCACCTCTTCACCTTGCGCCGTCAGGTCGAAATCGACCTCTGGTGACATCCACGACCAGACTCTCCTATCCAAACCTGTCTCTCACTGCCTCTCGTAGCTGGGCAAGTGTATGGCCAGTGGTGTTCTTGATGTCGTCCATCCATCTCCTCCAAGGTCGACCTCTGACCCTGATATCTTCTCCATTCCCAAGCAAGACTGATTCCTCTCGTCCAGAGGTCCTCATAAAGTGTCCAAAGATAGTACATTTCTGCTTCATGAATAAGGACTCGAGTGGAAGAGCGGGACCGATCTCTCTCAGGACGGACATGTTTGATATTTGGCTGTCCGTGGTTTATGTAGCATTCTTTTCCAGCACCACAAATGCTCTGATCCTCTTTCTCTCACTCAATCTCGGCGTCCACAACTCCCATCCATATACGACGACAGGGAATACCAGAACTTTGACAAGTCTCTTCTTGGTGCTTATGGTAATGCCCTTGTCTCTCCTTATCTTATTGAGCTGTGACATGGCTATTCTCCTGAGAACTGACCGCCTACTGATCTCGTGGCTACATTCTCCGTCTTCAGCAGTCAAGGAACACAGGAAGACAACGTTCTTCGCAACTTTGATTGATGCATTTTCCAGACAAAAGAGTTTAGTGGTTCTGTCGCCATCATCTTAATCCTTTGGAGATTGAGCCACAGCCCAGCCTTCCCACTAGCTTCTTTAACATTTACCAACAGGGTCATAATTTCAGCTTTGCTATTGATAGTGGGGTGGTATCATCAGCATCTCTTAAGTTGTTTATTCTTCTGCTTCTAATCTTCACGCCTGTTTCGATGCAATACAGGCCTGCCTCTCGCATAATACGCTCACTGTATAAATTGAATAGGTAGGGACACAGTATACAGCCCAGTCTTACTCCTTTCGCAATGTCAAATTCTCGTAGAATGGGCGATGCTCTTTGGTTGGCATATATATTAAGTAACACAGTGGGCCATACCTGGTTAAAAATAGTTTAAAATTATCTTAAATTAACCTTTCTACAATTGACGTTGAAGATGATAATGCATAAGCCATTTCTGTCTATCTGTCTGTAACACGACGACCCTTGTAAATATGATCCTGCAGGAACGAAGCTTCAGCAAAATGATATGTTGCTATTAGGGGCTTACCGAATTGGGGAAACAATTTAAATTTTGATTTAAAGCTTTCGTGACTGCAGTAATCCATATTCTTAGCTATTTCGGTAAAGTCACGTTGAAGTGAAACAATAAAATAATAAAATTTGTAAAACAATAAAAAAAATTCTCACGTTTCGACCATAACGCAAACGGTCATCAGGCGTTATGGTCGAAACGTCGTGAGATTTTTTATTGTTTTATATATATTTTATTATTTCATTGTTTCGCTTCAACGTGACTTTACCGAAAGAGCTAAGAATATGAAACAATTTAAGTTATAAAAGTGGTGAACAAACGTTGAAGATACACGCCAGAGCAATAAAAAAGTATTAATTGAAAAATTTCAAATAGTGATTTGTCCTGGAAGATACCAGTACAGGATCCGTATTGCTGATTAAACACTTTCAAAGACAAACGTAAGTCGATAAGCTTTAAACAATCTACCTATTTGCGTGTGCACAATATTACTTCAATTCAGGACGTTGTAGGCTTCCGCGACAAATATATTGTTAAGCTGTTGTGGGCTAGATCGCACAGACGTTTCATAAACAAAGGTGGGAGGGAGGAGAGGGAGGAGAGGGAGGGCGTTCCGGAGGGGCCCTGCAGAAGGAGCAGCGGCCGCATCTGAAAGCGCTGCACGATGCGGTTTTACCTCCATTCCGCACCTCCAGTTAACACGGTTGGCAATGCACGGTGCAAAATAAGTTCCACATACGTGCATACATACGACTGTCTTTGTTCGATGGTGAGGTCTTCATCCCAGCCTCTCTACAAGAGCAAATTGGGAGCAGTCGCGAGGGCAAAGAACCGCCGTGCACATCGCCCATTTGACCCCTCCTGCCCCCCCACCCCAGCAAGCTATTCACCTCACTGACCCAGGTGGCCACTAAGCATCCGTAAGTGTGGCAGGAACGCATTGCGGTAGGCTCCAGCTACAGATGCCCGAAGTGGGTAAAAGAGAATCGCTCGCTTTGTTACCCATCTGAGAGAGTCACCGCTCCCGTGTCGCTGCAGCTTTCTCATCTTGACCACCGATGGCGGCCATCCCAGATCTGAGTCTTGCTTTGGTTCTTCGTGAAGTCTTTCGTGAAGACTTGTAGTCGTGTTTTGCGTTTTTATCCTTGCGCCGTTGTGCTACAGAGTCGAGAAGAAACTGGGTCCCAGTCTGTCAGTTGCTCATTGTGAAAGAGTCGTGAATTGGTTGTCAATGTTGAGGACTTGTTTTTTTATATTATAGCTTGGGCGTTGTAGGAGACCTCTTGTTGGACAATCGTTTAAGCTGGTTGTGATAAATTAGCAATGGTCTGTATCAAACTCCAGGCTACAGACGCTCTGCGATTTGACAGAGTTTTCCATCAAGAGTTAATAAGTATGCAGTCAACGGTATTTCTCTATTTAGCTATCGCTTGACATACCGGTAAGTGAATGTTGTGGCTCTGGAGCCACCTGCCACCTATTCTGTGCACATAACATAATAAAATAAAAATTCAAATCTTGATTTGAAGCTTTTGTGACTGCAGGAATCCATATTTTTGGTTATTTCGTTAAAGTCACGTAGGTAGAAAAAATATAATAGATCACGACTTTTTGATCGCAACACAATCGAAACATCGTGATATATAATTTTTTTTACCTACGTGACTTTACCGAAAGAACCAAAGAGTATTATTTTGTATTTTACCAGGTCAGGCTCCACTAAGCTATGTAGCTCTTATTTTACATAAGTGACTTGGCCATAAATGATAGCTCAACAAAGGGGCTCATCACTTGGGAATTTATAGCAGCCAGTTATCTAAACGTGTGATGTTGATTTGCATGTGGAGGTACCCGGAGAAAAATCGAAGCGACCACGGAGATTGGAGGGACGCAAACTCCAAATATACAGCAGCAGGTGTCGGGGTCAAGATTCAACCTTCGACGAAGATAACATCTCGCCACCGTGGCCCTCCTTAAAAATATATAAATATTCATTTATTTCCCCACAAAGTAGTTATCATTTAGTCAACCATTTGAAGGATGATGACTGAGTTCCCCTCCCCAAGCAAGGATTTAAACTCGGGTGCCAAGCTGCCTGAGCTAGTTTGAGATTTTACAGTGCATCTGAGTCAACATTGGGAGAGAGAAAAAAAACATTTGTTATGGTTAAGATTAATAGTATCATGCATTGTTGCGATTCAAGGATTGTGATTTTATTCTGGAATCTATTTTCTTTACATTGTTGTGAATGAAGCGGCCTCTAGTATTTTCGGAGAAAAATGAGCTGAATACATAGAACACAGGCATGCAGGTATACAATTGATTCTTGTTTACACACATAATATGAATGTTTTGTGATGTTCAGACATTAATCGATGCACCACTATAATTGTTACAAACTAAAACCACAACGTGTGTAGTTTATTTACATCGAGTGAATGGTTAATATGAATTTATATATGCAGACGTTTCATTACATCTCAAGCTTTGTGGCATTACCTTGATAAGTTACTGTCAAATTGTAAACCATCTCATGACGATCAGCTGTGGTTGTTTCCAGAAAACAGCGGTACATTCCACTCGCGTTCGCTGGGACTGAAATCAGAGTGATGGAGCCATTTCCACTGCTCAGGTTCCCAGAGAAAACCACGTAGCAGAGAAGTGGGTTGCAGGATGTGATAGATTGAATGTTACAATATAATATCTGTGGAACAAGATATATTACACGTTCAGCAATTTGTTTTAATTGTTGCACATTAGTGTTTGTATATTTATACCAGTTGGCTGACATTGCACTCTCCAACAAACTATGCAGATGAACTCTATTGAAAATCTGCTGTTATATTTATATTGAACCAGTTAAAACGTATTATGGAAATTATTTTCGAATTACGTCAAACAATATATTTCATCCGTATATTTTTTAAGGATTGGGGTTAAAATCGAAAACCTACATTTTTTAGATTTGCACAACTATATTAGTTTCCACATGTATTATTATTTAACGCTTCTAAAACATTGGTAGAATTTGAATGTATCTTCTTTTACATAGCGCATCTCACAGCAAAATAAATCCCTTTGCGTTAACAGAAGGATTTTGACTGAAACCCAAAATGGGGGACCCGGTAGCGAATTGCAGAACTCTGAGCACTGGGGGATGTTTGATCTCAATTGACGTTGTCCACTAAGAACCCCTAGCAGCCCGCATCTTGCACAAGCTGGAGACAACAAAGAAGCTATTCGGGCAGTCCAGCAAACAGCGGTTTTCAATCGGGAATCCTAGAGGTTATAGTAGCGCATGACACAGAATCTCTACACCGCTACTATTTCAAAGGGGCATATCAGGCTATATTTCTGAACTGGTAGAAAGCTGAGCTAATTACAAGAGACAATCACTCCTCTAATCTACCATTGACATTAAGGGCGATGCCAAAGCTTCGCACGAAAGATTAACATTTTATTTTATAGCCAGCAACATTAAAAACAAAATCAGAACATTTATTTAGTCTGTATGAATCCGTTGCGCTATTGGAGCTCTTCTTCACAGATGTCCATCCGTTACAACAACAACAACAACCAAACACAGCTGCAGCTGATTGACAACTAATTTCTTGTCGGTGTGTTTTAGTTTGTTTCCCCCCTGTACGTCCAGTTAGTGTGGTTGGCTATGTACGGTGCCAAAGAAGTTCAACACACATACATGGTATACTATACACTACCCTACACTACACCAGTATACACTACACAACGATACACTACACTACTATACACTACACTACTATACACTACACTACTATACACTATACTACTATACACTACACTACTATACACTACTATACACTACACTACTATACACTACACTACTATACACTACACTACTGTATACTACACTACTATACACTACACTACTGTATACTACACTACTTTACATTACACTATACACTACACTACTATACACTACACTACTATATACTACAATATACACTACACTACTATACACTACACTACTATATACTACACTATACACTACACTACTATACACTACACTACTATACACTACACACATACAGATAACCGCACCCATCACTGTCCCCCCACCAGCCCTGGCAAACAGGAGGTAGCTGATATTTAGTCTCACAAGAAGTAACACTGCCTCGCTATCATTGAGGCCAAAGGAAGTTGGAGGTCAACCCATTTTGATGTCCGTACCACCAGTTGCTGCCGAAGAGCCACAGAGTTTGTGTTAAGATTGCTGACGGACCCCCATCTCTGAATGGGGTCTCTGGACAGCTTAAACAAGTGGTTCTTAACCTGGGGAGCATGCACCCCATCTCTAGAATGGGGTCTCTGGACAGCTTAGACTAGTGGTTCTTAACCTGGGGAGCATGCACCCCATGTGGGTGTGAGATGCCCTTTCTAGGATTGTGAGACATGGCCAGATTGTTTTCGAAGGTAAATCATTGACAGACAAATTAGGCACGGGCACGTAATTACAACTAATTTGTTTCGTCAAACCTATGTATTTATGAACATGTAACATGTTTAACGATTGAGAAGCAGGGGTGCAGTAAAGGTTAAGAAGCACGGGCTTAGACTAACGAGAGAGATCTCTAAAAGGAACTTCGACCTAAGACCGTTTACTTGTAATGTATTTCTTAACATTATTTTAAATACGGCACATTCTGTACGAGTGATATTCACACTGTGTGTAGCAATACAGACGGATATTGCATTGGGCTGATAATCCCTAAAATGTGCTAAATCGGTAATACCATGTGTAATCAGGGATAATACAATACTCACCGTTGTGTTAGACTGTCCATATCTCCATCGCACTCGGTATATTGTGGACGATGTTGAACAGTTAAGGAGCACATCTTCGCCTTCAACAGCCGCCATGTGCTGAATGGGGCTTTTTGCTACATAAAGAAAGATGTGCAAAACGAATGCAGAGACCACCATCATTGAACTTTAATAGCTGGATATGAGCAGCCTGGAAGCATCAAAAAACCATGCCATCTCCACACATACACGGATACCTTTTCAAAAACTCATCTCTGGGAAATGAATTGAGTACAACCCTCCGTATGCGCAAGCTTATGGAAATTTATAGTTTCGCATATTCGCAAGTTACTAAATGCATACTAATTCCCTATTCACGAACCTGCTAAACTTCAGTATTCGAGAGTTCTATGAAAGTCCCGACAGACCGCAGAGTTTTACTACAATTTAAAGCTTCCGTGACTGCAGTGATTCATATTCTTGGTTCTTTCGCTAAAGTCACTTAGAAGGGAAATAATATAATAAATAAAATAAAACATAATAAAATAATATAGTTTAACTTCATTTGAAACGGTCCGCTGTGAAGATGAGGCGAGCCCTCTCTGGGCCACCCGCTGTGTCCTGAACTCGCTATTGTGCATTTGTTACTTTACATACTTACAGTTTACTCGGTTATTGATTTTATGAATCATTGTCAAATCAAAATAATCATCGTTAAAGGTAATTAAAAAATGTGTTGTGCGGTTTATTATTTATTTTAGCCATTGTTATTAAACTTTTCCAATTTCTCACTCAATGTTCACTTGTATCAGGAGCATTCCCCCCATTTCCCCCCAAATGGAACAAATGTTTCTGGATTCGCAAAATTCTGAATTTTGAGCAATTTTCAAGAACTATCACGCTCGCGGATCGAGAGAAGGTTTACTGACAAACATTACTCTGGGTGGCAGAGTGGGTGGAGAAGTGCTGCCCCCTATTGTGAGGGTGAGATGTTCTTTCAAGGGGGATTTTTGCGGTAGCTGTGAGGTTGCGTATCTCGTGATATTATGTTGATAACATAATTGGGGGAAACGATTGAAGACATAAAAGGGTCACGCGCGGTTGAGGAGGCCGTCACTGCCAATGCCGTTGATGCCACTGTCAGTCCCAGTGTTCGCCGAGTACTCATTACACACACTGCGCTTGCCACAAATGAACCACAATACCTTGCTGATCTCGTCAAGGAGCATAAACTATCACGCAAACTCCGTCATCCTCGCAGTGGCAGCTTTTGGCTCTCCATCGAACAAAGATGGTCACCACATCATGCACTTTCAGATGTGCTTCTGGGGCCGTCAGGAATGCTCTTCCTTCCGATATTGGTTAGCTACTGGAGCTGTGCACTTTGACATGATTTATATTCACAACTCATTTCTTCTTAACTGATTTTTGCATTTCGTTTGTTCTTCCCCCTCACCTCCGATTGGGACGGTTGACTACATAAGGTGCGAAATAGGTGCAACATACATACACACGTACATACAACAACTCTACCACCACTCTTAACTCGGCTTATTTTAATCACAAACGTATTGATATGAATAATGCTGTATCATTAATCTACAGCGGACACGAATAACGCTATTACTGAACGGAACTTATTAGGTGTGTGTAGCTTATTTCTAACTCACAACCCATGCCCCACATCAAAATGCGCGTGGTTGCTATGAGTGACACGGACGACACAACTTCTGCCTATCGCACAAAATGATCGAGCCGCTATGCAAGCCTCGTGGTCTCACCGCGGACTATGGAGCCTGACATGTGTTTTTAGATATGATTTTAACAGGTAAGGCCAACCACATGCACATTTCAAATATACAGCAGGCGTCAGGGTCTCAATCGAACGGACGACCTCCTGCATTCCAGGCGAGGTAGTTAACATCTCCTTGGAGTTTGGGGGTGTGGGTGCTGATTGCATGGTTTGCTTCGGGCGCCAGTTGCTGGTAGCTAGTCTAGGGCTGTCCCTGAGAGAGAGACAAGCAAACTCCAATTATATAGCAGCCATCAGTGTCGGGATCGAACCCACGACAACCCTGCATACCAGACGAGGCAGTTAACATATCCTAGCCACAGTGGTATGGGTGCGACCTGTGCCGTATTAACCTCGTGGGGGGCCCTAAAAAAAACCGTAAATATTAAAACACAAATGTTTTACTTGCATAGTAAAGTAATTGTATTTGCAATACAGCCAGATAATACAACAAATCGCTAACCTTAAACACCCAGTCGTTCATAAAAGTTGAAGGCAGTATAGTACTATAGTAATAGAGCAAGTGTAGAATCACTGAACTGGAATTGAATGCTTGAAAGCATTTAGCGCGGAGCATACGTAGCAGCTTTTACTACTAGGATAATCCGGCCCTGGGCGCGACCATTACGATCGCAATTTTAAACAACCGAAGGAGCGCACATTGGAGAGCACACACGCACGCTGAATTCTGTTGTTTACCAACGTTCCACTCCATCTTTCTTACCTGAGTTCATCACGTGCACTGCCACCACCATTACCGTTACGATGAAGGCGGATTCGCGGTGGTTCATGGTTGGGAGCTCCTAGGGCGGGTAACAAGAGACAGGGATGAGGACAGGGCAAGGTAGGAGCAAGCACAACACAAAGGGTCCCGTTGTGACCAGTTATATTCACTTTACACTACAATACACTACACTACTATACACTACACTTTACACTACATACTGCACTCTATATACTGCACTACTTTACACAACACACTACACTATTATACACTACGTGATTATACACTCCACTACAGCACTGTACTACATTGAAAACTAATTATGTTTTCTTGTTACGTGCATATTTTCTCGTTATTTACGTATTACCTTTTTTGATAAGTAGTGGGGTTTTATTTTCGTCTTTTTGCACGGAACTGGATAATAGATGTGCAGCATTGTGGGATGCAATTGCATGAATGAAGCTATTTGAATTTTTTTTTTATTATTACGGTGAGAAATAAGTTCAACATATATACAAATAAGCATAGCATGAAACAGTCGGTGCTGGCGTTGCATTGTCTTCTTGTCTCCAGGGACTGGTGCAGGAGAACGACATTGCTCTGCATGACCGCTGCCCGCGTGTCTGTTCCTCTAGCGCAGTGGTTCTCAGAGGTGCGGTCCCCTGACCCAGGAGTGGCTGTGATGTGTAGCCCGGTGTGAGCTCACCTGGCCATCACAAATGATAGCAGTTCACCCTAAGTGGCTTGCCATGTGGACATTTATAGACGCCAAATAATCTATATGGCATGTTGATTCTAAATTTGGAAGGAAAAACCGGAGGACCCCGGAGACAGAAAGAGAGGAAGAGAGAGATGCAAACCCTAAATATATGTAGTGACATATAATGGGTCACTACAGCACCGAGTGCCAGTTACTGATAGAGAGGGGAACTGGGAGTGAAGTAGCCCTCTCTGCCAGCAGGATATCCAATGTCATGGAAAGGGTCCCTAGGGGGCATAGTTCTGGTGACTGGCAGAGAGAGGGCATCTGAAGACGTAGCAGCCCTGTTGAGTGGCAAGGGCACGTGCTAGGCCAGGGTAAGGGAAGTGGGCCAAAGGTGTATGGCCCAGAACCTTCTGGTAGGTTCCAGAAGGGGGTGTGGCCGAGGGTGGAGCCAGGCCACGCTGGGAGGTATAAAAGGGAGGTCCTGAGGCTGCATCGGGGCAGTCTGCTGGAATGGAACCCGCCGTGCTACGTCTTCCCCTGAGTCTTCGGTCTTCGTGCTCAGCATCGTGGGTCAGGCAGTGTGCCGACTGACCTGACCCGTTTATGTAGTTATCCCGTGGTGGTTACCGGTTGTTATGTAGTTATCCCGTGGTGGTAACCGGTTATGTAGTTACCCCGTTGTGTTTGTAGAATAAACGTGTTGCCTCCTGAGTTAGTGTGTCTCTCAGTAAACCCACTACATATACAATGGGCATCGTTAGTCGGGATAGAACCCACGACCTCCTGCATACCAGGCAAGGGGGATAACATCTCGTCACTGCGGCGCCCCACGTTCACTGCACATCAGCAAAAAGCCACGCTTTGAAAAACACTTTCAATGGAAGTGTAGCCGGGTATGAGCTCACCTGTCATTAATGACACGTATAAGTGTGCACTCTGCTCATAGCTAGGGGTAGGCAGGTGTTTATTATTATTTAAGTGAATGCCAACGGTGATCAGCGATTGGACAACGAGCCGTCCACGTGCAAAGCAGAGTACGAGACACGTCCCCAATTTAGATTTGCGCGGACTTCGTGCTGGTGAACTGCACATTTGACATTAGCTCAGGCCCGGATGAATGTTCTTGTAGGCCCTAGAAACTTCTGTTTCATAGGCCTTCAGTGATAACTTTCTACACTTGGTACTGCTGCTGCCCATGTTAATACCGCCACTGTCACGTCACTCCATTAGCTTCACACGTACTTCGTCCAGCCGCAGCTGGACAAGATGTCGTTACTGCTGACAGGTTAATTATTTAGTCTGTGCCCTCATTGCAGATAGGAAATATCCCTTCTGAAGACGACTTTTGAAAAAAGTTTTGCCGTTTCACAACCACCACCACCACAAACCACTGGTGGCTCAGCTGATGTGGAGTTGCCACTACTTCTCCGGAAGACAGAACACAACGCAGAGTACATCGAATCATCGTCTCAGAACTTTATTAGTTTTATTGTTGTTACTGCTGTCTATTTAGCCGACCTGTCCCCCCTCGCAAGGATTCACGAAAACGGAACGAGAGGGTACAGCAGGGCAGACAGGCTACAGATGCAAACGCAGGTTCAGAGTCAGAATCTTTTTTTTACACTGCAGGAGGAAAACCGATGAGCCATGAAGCTCTTTTTGTCACAGGTGTCCATAAGGAAATGTGTAGACCCTTTTGTTTCAGACATGAATAATAATTTAACACTATAGGATTTGAAGTTTTCGTGACTGCAAGGATCCATACTCTTTGGTTCTCTCGGTAAAGTCACGTAGGTGAAAAAATAAAATAAATAAATAACAAATCAATATTTTTTCACTTACGTGACTTTACCGAAATAACCAAAGAGTATTATATTCAGGAATAATAAAAAAATTAAATGAGGTAAATTACCCTCATAAAACTACATGACCCTAAGAGCTAAATCCCCCCCCCCCCCCCATAAAAATATCATTATAGTTGTGTACAAACGCAGCTATAAGGATGTTCCGGTAATATTAATCCTGTTATATTGCTGGTATTTACAAAGATAAGTGAATGCGTTTTGTCACGAGGGGTAGAGAGGTTGAGTGGTTAGCAGAAATGTTTGGCGCCACGGTGATGAGATGTTAACTACCTCGCTTGGTATGCAGGGGATTGTGAGCTTGATCCCGACCCTAACGCCTGCCATATATTTGGAGTGTGCGTATCTCTCTCCCCGTGGTCACGTGGATTTTTCTCCGGGTCCTCAGGTTTTGTCTCTACACATTAAGAGTCGATGTGCGTTTAGAGTATTTGGATATTGCTATGAATGTCCACGTGATAAGCCACTTTGTTGAACCGTAATTTGTGATGGCCAGGTCGCTTCTGAAAAATAACTACATAGCTCAGTGGACTTTACCTGGCATAATAAAGAACAGTAGTCATTGTTTACATCGGCTAACTGGTGCGCCTGCCATACAAGTTTGAGAACAATTCCTCTAATGCATTGCAAGCAACATTGAGTTGTTGGTGTTCACTTCCCAACAACATTTGCTGGCCTATAGTCAATCGACATCAAGAACAACAATTTGACTTATCATCAACGTCCACAACGTCAACACATCGATATCAAGAACAATTAACATGAAACAAAATGTCGACATCATCAACAGTATAACGTCAACAAAGATCGTTAACAATAATACATCAAAGATAGAATAGCAATAATGTAACGGAAACAATACAATTACAATATAACACCACCATCATTAACATATCAACAACAATCAATATAAATGAAGACAATCTGTATGTATGTCTCAAAAAAACGTCCATAGTACTTCCCGACAAGGTGGAAAGCTGAAATTTGGTACATAGGTCACTTATAGGACACAGACAACAGGAGATAAATCTTAAAATCCGAGATTTATCATTTTACGGCCCCCAAATTTCGATTTTAAGTGCCCCATGAACATGTTTGTGCATGTCATTCACAAACCGTTCAAAATATAAGATTGCGTTTATTTCCCTTTGATAGAGCGTTAAACAGCAAATACAATTAAAGTGAGAGCCATTATTTTATTATTTTTGAGATATTTCGGTTTCAAGCGGTTTTGAATGAAAAAAACATTTTATGCTGTCGAAATCTGAATAATTCGAAAACTTAGAGTATTAAGTTCATTATTTTTGCTCTTTCTTCTAAAATAAGTAATAGTCAAAAACTTTTTTTTTAAAAACACGCTTTAATGAAATGTACCGTACGAGTAATAGCAGAACTCCACGATTCCAGGAAGTGGCCCCGAAGCTTGCACCGTAAGGAGGCCGTGGTGATTTACAGCCAACGTCAGTTGAGCGTGGACAATTAGACCGAAGCCGAAACACAACATGTAAAAAAGAATGTTTAAAAATATATAATTATTATGATTTTTCATGATAGAATATAGTATTGTCATCAGTATGACCTAAGTATACCAAGTTTGCAGTCGATACCACATTGGAAAGTGGGTAAAAATTTAGGATACAACAGAGTGAGTTAATAAAAAGCGTGTAAAATAATAATAATAATAGCGTGTAAAATAATAATTGCAGTTTCCGATGGGTACGGCTTTAAACATCGGAAGTTTAATTAAAGTTGTCAATTTTTTTGCAGAATTTTTTTTGGTACTTGTTCGTGTTTGGTTGTAGATAAAAGTTGTAAAAAAACGATCATAATTATTATGTTTATTTAAATATTTTGCCTGGCGAAGACAGATTTATAATCTAGTAATATAACATATCAACATCAAAACACATGACGTAACATTAAAACCAACAACATTCTGACATAACAATACCAACGTTAACATCAACACTATTCATTCTCACCAATATCGACAACGCCACGACGTGTAAATATGAGTTCGACTCCAGGCCACGGATAGCATAGATGCTGAATTTAGATCTGAAAAAGTGATGGCTCCCTCATCTCCCCGCCATTTAACCACCAACTCGCATTGACCAGCGTGGCGAAGTTTGTTGTAGCAAATACACTCCGCATATACAAAATACTACCAACCTCCATAGAGCATATACAGAGGCAAACACAACAGCAAAGATAAAGATCTCCCGTGTAGCCTCTAACAATGTTGGGGCAAGTGCAGTTACTAGCGAGCACCAATGAAGGGCAGCACAGAACACAAAGGGGGAGGTGTATGGCCAACACCTTGCCGCCTTTGTCTCCCCAATGCTGATATTTTTGCTTCACAGCAGGAGCTCATTAAAGGCTGAGTCAAGGTGGGGGAGGCCCAGAACTGGTCCAGATAATATTCACTGATGGTGGCCGTGAGCGGGACTTGAACTCGGGTCGCCGAGTTTGTAGGTCCGCACACTAATCGTTAAACTACCACTCCCCGTACATAGGAGCACACAGACATTGCTATGCACACACGCAGCTTGTGTTAGTACATCCACATTACACAAAAAGACATCCCCCTTAAAGCTTTGAACAAACTGTTGGGGCAAGTGCTCGTAGCGAGTAACGCCTACG